GGTGCACCCCCCATATGGGCTGGCTAGATTGGAGAAGGAAAGAGGAAGGAGGAAAGGAAAAAGGTAATAGGATTCCCCCTTCCCCCTCTTCCCTTCCTACTCCGAATAGGAATAGGAGAGGGGGTTGGCTGAATTGGGAGAGGACTCCGAGTAGGATTCTTCCTACTTGGGGCGCCCCCTTGGCTGCCTCCCCTCCCCTCCAACCTATATATATGTGGGGAAGGGGGCACCGACAACACACAACATCAACTATTAGCCGTGTGCGGCGCCCCCCTCCACAGTTTACATCCTCGATCATATTCTCGCGGTGCTTAGGCGAAGCCCTGCGTGGATCACATCACCATCATTGTGACCATGCCGTCATGCTGATGGAACTCATCTACTTCCTCGACACCTTCCGCTTTCTGGATCAAGAGGACGAGGGACATCATTGAGCTGAACGTGTGCAGAACTCGGAGGTGTCGTACGTCTGATACTTGATCGGTCGAAGCTAGAAGAAGTTTGACTACATCAACCGCGTTGTCAAATGCTTCCGCTTTCGGTCTACGAGGGTACGTATACACACTCTCCCCCTCTCTTTGCTATGCACCTCCTAAATAGATCTTGCGTGAGCGCATGTTTTTTTTTTGTGAAATTGCATGCTACATTCCCCAACAGTCCTACGAACAACACGGGGGGGAATACGAGGGGAAAATGAGAGAAATCACTCAAACCAACAAGATTCGATTACACATGTGCTAGATCCTCAAAACACAAAGATATACACAACCCACGATCAACAAAGGACGATACAAGTAGCAAGTTCTCCGTGATGAGGTCTTGAAGGTCTTCCCATGAGGGGTCTTGAATCCAAGATGGATCTACTCTGTAGAGGCCGCGGTCTCTCTCGGTGGAGTAGATTCGGATGGATGAGCAAAGCTCTATCTCTCAAATGAGCTAAACCAATGCTAACCCTAAAACGTGAGGGAGATGGAGTATATATAGTCTAGGGGGGCGAAGGGATACATGGGCTTCAGCCCTTTACTGTGCGCAGACAGATAGAGCCAGACGTCCGGGCGTTGGGCCGGACGTCCAGGCCTTCCCAAGACGCCGGATGTCCGGGCTGTCGGGTCGGATGGCCGGGCTGGGAAGACGCCATCCTGATGCTCTATGGAAGGAGGGTGTCGGATTTCTGGGTCGGAGGCCGGATACCCGGCGGCTCGCTTGGAGCCGGATGACCGGGCCTCTAGCCGAATGTATGGGCTGGCAGTGGCCATTCAGATGCTCTTTGGATCGGCGGATGCCGGATGTTTGGGGCTCCTGACGAATTTCCGGGCCTGGCCGGATGTTCGAGGCCTATAGATCCTTGGCGGCTGGGCTGCTGCTATGGATGATGCTCCAGGGGCCGGATGTCCGGGTCCTGGGGGCTTCTCCGATTCCTTCCATCGTTCCTCTTCATCCGTGAGCTTGGGGACTTGTCCATCTTCATGTGCATCTTCTAAAGGGCCTTCCTGGTACCTGATCATGCACAACATTCCAGACTTAGATAGTAACCATGTCTCGAGTGTATCATATGGAATATCACTAAGGAAGGAAGTCACCTCGGTCTCGAGGGCTCTAGCTCGTGCTCGTGTCATTGGTCCTCTTGTCACTTGATGAGACAATGGTAGGTCCATGGGGATGACCATAGGATGCTCCGCATCAAGACCTTCCACCTTGCTTCTCAAAAGAGTACAAAATTTCATTCAAATCTCTCATAACAAGCCACAACATATCACCCATAGCTCTCAGATCCCGTAACATTTGCCAGTGTTTATCCTCCCACCGTGGCTCACTGTACATACTAGCAAACCTCCAAACATGTCCCGGGTCATTACCGACAAAAACATCAAAAACATTTATTTGTTATGAATCTCAAAGAAATCGCTACCTCCTTCTTAAAGTAAAGTACCAAGCCATAGTTTGTACCATCACTAAAAACCACCTCCTTAAAGTCCATTTCCGACCTCCTCTGGAGACATTATGTCAGCCACTCATCCATATGTGCTTTTGACGAAAAAAGCACACTGAGACACCTACTAGCATGAACATCAAGTAGGGCCTTGCCTGCTAGAGCCACGGCAATTCAAACTGATGATTTTCATTGCATCCAGTTAGCCTCCTGCACACAGGCCACCGGTATCGAAAGATTTTGTTCGTCCCCTCCCATTCTCGAATGTTTAGAGGTTGCGTTTTACCCGGTATCCCTGCAACTGAAGTTGTGTTGCCACTATTATTTTAACAAGGGATTACCCTTAGTTGTGCCCCCCTCGTCAGGATTGCCCCTAGTTTCTGAAAACACGTGGTCATGCCCAACTCACTTTGGTGTCTTGTGCTTTTTCCCTTTGACCGTCACTTTGAAAACTTCATAACTAATTCATACTAAATCAAAAAAATGCAAATAAGATACCAAAATGTTCGGAAAAACATCACTTGTATGTCAATGTCACTTGCATTCATGACAAAAGTGTTGGTAAGTGCACATCCGAGTTATAGCTCTTATATACCACCATGAATAGTAAAATCTAAAAAAATTCAAAAAATGGTGGCAAAGAATGACAAATGTTTTAAGTGCTTGCCAAGTTTCATCAGGGAATGCCATTTTTTTGCCATGACTTGCACGAATGTCATTCCCTGATGAAACTTGGCAAGCACTTAAAACACTTGTCATTCTTTGCCACCAACTTTTTTTTATTTTTTTATTTTACTATTCATGGTGGTATGATAAGAGCTAAAACTCGGATCGGCACTTACCAACACTTTTGTCATGAATGCAAGTGACATTGACATACATCTAATGTTTTTTCTAACATTTTGTTATCTTATTTGCATTTTTCTGATTTAGTATGAATTAGTTATGAAGTTTTCAAAGTGACAGTCAAACGGTCAAAGGGCAAAAGCACAAGACGACAAAGTGGATTGGGCAAGACCACGTGTTTTCAGAAACTAGGGGCAATCCTGACGAGGGGGACACAACTAAGGGTATAAAACCAATTATCCCTTTTAATAATTACGAATCTGACTAACAATTGACGCTACTCTCCCTCAAAGGTCAACTTATTAGGTCCTTGAGTGTTGGCTCAAATCGGTTTCGTATGTGAGCCTCTTCCAGCTCAAAGTTTCCTCCGCCTTATCAACATCATCCTTGTCAAAGTTATTTGCTCTCCAAGTAGTGCCCATGTGGCAACCATCAAAGTCATCATCAAATCTGCTAGCACACCCATAACATTGTCCCATAGATGGGGCACATCCAGTTGGCGCCCCTCGGCCTCCTCTATCACAACCACTTCCTCTGCCTCATCCATCGACCAGAATAAAATCACCCACTCTAATTTAGCTTCATCATGTTATTCGATACCACATTCCTGTAGCTAATGGCCAATCAGTTCATAGTTTCCACAAAAGGTAGGTAATTTTTCATACTTCACTTAGTACCAGACATTTTTGGTATCTTTTGTGACCGATACAAATCAAACAAGCTTCCTAGCAGCACCCAGATCCACACATATTATAACAAATCCACCCACAAAATCGGTTGGGAATCTAATGTGAACCTGAGTAATCTCTCCCATGGGTCTACACATACCTATAATTACCTTCTAATGGAGATAGTTATCCTAGAGCTTTAACACATGTGGCCTTATCCAATCTCCCAGGCGGCCAAATTGGATCGTGAAGAGACTATCCTCAATTCCCCTTCAGACTACTTTCTTTGCTGGATATGAGGCATGCCTCATACTGAATAGAGTGAAGTAGGGTTGAATCCTGATTATGAACCCTAGCAATACCGAGCCACTTGGCTTGGATCGTGGTCTCAACAATTTACTATTCCCAGATGAAATCCTCCATTTCTTCTTCATGTAGGTTTAGGCGACCAATGATCCTCGATAGGCTTGCGACCAGCCTTCGTCACTCTGCTCGATCCTCTCATGTCAACCATCAGTGATGGGAGGGAGCGCAACAAAACCCTAACCGACGATCACCTCCGCTGCACGTCAATGTAAAGCACGCAAATCCCCATCAATAATTGCGAAGGCCGTGGGAACATGGCTGGATCAGTCAAGCAGTAAGGAAACTCCCGCCGACACATCACAGGAGGACATGTTAAACCCTAGGTTTCTGCTAGGGAACTTTCGGCGCCATGTTGGCTAGTGGTATCACAATAAGGTATATGCGACGCCACATCAAGTTCATATATGAATAGAGTTCAAGCGTACCAAGTTTGTGTACTATCTTAATTCCCAATTAAAATAAGAAAGATGCACCTCACACAGTAGTAGAAGCAAAGGTGGCCAAATGGGCCAGTACTGACGTGTTGGCCCGATAGCCCGCGTGCCCGGCCCGTGGTGGGCCTGGCCCGCCCCATTTATAATCGGGCTGTACCGACACATGGCCCTCCTAGGGCTGTGCCTGGGCTGCGAGGCTAAGCACGAGTGCCAGCATGGCCCGACCCGTTTTTTTTTTCCAGATATTTTTTATATATTAGCCCCCAAAACAGCCCAAAATCAGACAGGCTGATGGGCTAAACATGCTGATGAGCCGGCCGGTTTAGGCCAGGCCGTGCCGGCCCATCTGGCCAAGTCCGTGAAGTGCTTTGCCTCGAAAAAAAAAGGTCTGTGAAGTGCTTTTGTGGACTATACTGTTCACGCGCATTGCTTTCCCGTTTCCACCGCGCGTACACGGCAAACGTCTCGCGCCCACGCACGACTCCGCCTTACTACGCACCTAGGGGTTCTCCTCCGCCGCCGGCCGTTCGCGCGGCGGGTTTCGTGCCATCGGGATTGCAGGGGAACAGGGTTCGGCTTTCTAGGGTTCCGCCGGTTTGGTTTGGTCGGGCCTGCGTCGTGCGTTTCGACGAGCGAATCTAGTGGTCGATTTGAATCAGTGGGCGTCGGATGCAGGTGCCGGTGGCGGTTAGCTTGATTCCGATTCTGCTGTAATACCGACGGGATTTTCAGCTACGTTTGTGTTTGTGCGGTTCAATGGCGGGATCTGTGGGCACAGGCAGGGTAGCACCTCGGTCGTCCCCAAAGCGGTACAACGGCATGGATCCGCCGTTATCTTTGACCAGGCCGACCATGTTCGATCTGCAGAAGACGGCTGAGCTCGAGAAGGTTATTATTCATTGCTAATCGCTTATGTTTTGGAGCTTTGCTAAGTGGTCTGTTGTGATGATAGTGTTGCTTTTGTGTCGTTGGCAACATGCTTGCAGTTCTTGGTTGAAGCGGGCCTTTACGAGAGCGAGGAGCAGTCCGCGAAACGGGAGGAGGTGCTACGGGAGATTGATGGGGTAACCCCTTTCATTGCTTGCTACTCCCTCCGTGAACAAATATAAGAGCGTTTAAACACTTATATTTATTTACAGAGGGAGTACTTGATGTCTCTGATTCTATGGAAGTAGGAGGTGAACCTAGAAGGGGACTATATTTAATCGGAAAGGTCTGCCTTGCATGGCCATTTCGATGACTATGATATTTAAGTAGCTAATGCTTCCTGTGGGCACTATATTCAAATGATTTTTGGTGTGGAGTATTGTATTTCAGTACCCAGACTTGAGAATGTTTGATTAGTTTTATTCCTGTTTCCATTTTTCTATTTTAGATAGAAATGGTAAATCCTATCTGTAGTGTAACTTACTCCCTCCGTCCCAAAATAAGTGTCTTGACTGTAGTACAACTTTGTACTAAAGTTAGTACAAAGTTGAGACACTTATTTTGGGACAGAGGGAGTATGTTTTATCAGGTCTTACATTTCGATGCCCTGCAGTTACTAACCTGTTCGGGCTTTTAATTGATTTGCAGATAGTTAAGGAATGGGTGAAGCAGTTAACTAGTCAGAAAGGGTATTCTGAGCAAATGATTGAAAAGGCAAATGTAGTCCTTTTCACTTTTGGATCTTACCGCTTGGGGGTAACTGCCTATTTCTCTGCCCTATTCTTTTATTCCATACACCTTGTCCCTTCTGTCACATTAAATAACATACTTGTCTATCTTTTTATTATCTTATTAATGTGAATCAAGCGGATTCAAATAAGAACATCCACCCAAAAGTTCTCGTTTGAAGAAGTAAACATACTTGGGTTTGCAGTTTTAGAAACTTGACTTGTTTCATCTCTCATAGAGATGCTTTTGGGTTTTCTAGGCATTTCATCCAAATTGGCCCCTACTAAAAGTTACTTTGCAGTATAAATTCCATAACCTGCTGCCAAACTGCTATTGCTTGTTGAGTTGTTATCAGCTTGGCACTGCATCCCTCTGATATTGCATAGTTTATGTCAGGGTCACATTACTGCTCTTCTAGACGGTGGATAACGAATCAAAAGTCAAGTTAAGTGCTACAACTATTTATTAAAAGGCTGCTAGAACTAATTTTTGTAATCTGAAAGTAATCACAACCATTCCTCTTTAGTCCAATGAGTGAAACAAATATTGTCACCGCAACATTGCTACACATTACGTCAGAGGAAAAAATTGTCATTGTGATTGGATGAGTAGGGTGCGCCAGTGGAGTAATTTATGTGCCATTACTATGTTAAATCAAGAGGGAGAAATAGGTCACCCGATAAACAATCAAAGACCACCTGTTCTGTGTGATGTAAGCTAAAACGACAACCAATAAAGATGTGGTCATACATTCAACTTTTACACTTTCTCATGAATTCATGATGGACCAGAATAAAGCAATAATTGTCACAGATAAGATTTGAGTTAGAAGGAGTCTGGAGTAGTGAATTAGTTCAGCATGTTTCGCAATCTGGTACTGGAACCTAAGAAACACGGATACGGAGACACAGACACGGCGATAACATGGGATACGGCATTTTCCCAAAATAGCCATTTCGGGGATACGACGAGTATATGTAAAGAAATTTTTTAAATATGCCATGTAATATAGAGTTAAAACAAAAAAATTAATGAGGAATTGAGATGAGATCAGACTACCGCCTCATTTCCATCTGGTGTCTCATTTTTCAAGTGCTCAATTATTGAATTAATTGATCCTCTAGACCCATGTCATTGCAACTTACAAAGTACATCAAACGCTAGTATTAGTAAACTAGCAGGATCTCAACATCAGGCTGCCCTTCAGCGTCTTCGCTACTGGCAGTGGTGCTCCCAGATAACATGCTCCCTAACAGCAAGCAACTATCAACACCCAACAGCAGCACCACATTCAATCGAGCACAATATCATGTAGCCAATCAAAACGCAAGCAGCAATGACATGGCTGCATGGGGAAGCAAGCAGCAGCAGCTCAACAACAAGTGTCACAAAGAGATGAAGAGGTTGAAGAGAGGCTGCTGTGCTTGGGGTTACCTGCTCGAGCGTGATTGCCGTTGGTAGGAGAGGCTGCTGTGCTTGGGAAACGGTGGCAGGGCGAGTCCAGGCAGCGGCGTTGATGTAGGCGGTGGCGGCGCGTTCGCTAGAGCCAGGAGCAGCTCGTTTCCTTTTGTGGTGAGCGTATGTGCGAGTGGGTTTGTATCAAGCAGAGGCTGTTATTGGGCCTCCCGAGTCCCCACCATATCCCAGCCTTGTCCTTATTTTTTTTCTTATTTTTTTAATTCGTAAATGAGATGGTACTGTGGGATACACGTATCCCGGCGTGTCACCGTGTCCTGCCGCACTAGGACAGCAAATCGCTGAATCTGCTGTATCCATGCTTTCGAGATTGGAACGGATGCTGCTTGGTTGGTGTTGATGGTATGCCCCTCGTCGCAAGGATACCTGACAGATCATTAATACTGGTATATAGGAAAGATAGATTCAATTGAGTAGTTGCTCATGTTTGAGATTTTGCATCTTTTTCCAAACAATGTTCTTAAACATTATTGTAAGCAATAATAATAGTTTAACGTGCTAAGAATCATTTCTAACCATGTGTGGGAGTGGCACATGTGTAATGGATATTTCTAATCTTCTGATATCAGTAGTTAACTCACAGGAATAAGGGATTCTACAATGTAGAGGTTTAAATGCCATCACTGTGCAGCATCTGTCCATGTACCTTTCAGCATATCACATGCTTTCTTAGTTTTATGCTCTTTCACGTATTTTGCTAAGTTCCTGTTACAGTATATGATCTCCTTCGGCTTCTGGAGTAAATACTTCCTGTGCTGGTAAATTTAAGCGAGTCTACTTCATAATGACCTCTTTGTTAGGTTCATGGGCCTGGAGCAGACATTGATATCTTATGTGTTGGACCTTCATATGTGAACCGAGAGGTGAAGTCTAGTCACCTTTCTTTTGCATAAAACCTACTGTTTATAGATTACATATGCCTTACAATAATTAATGTTAATATTTCTGCAGGAGGATTTCTTTGTCACACTACATGGCATATTAACACAACTGGAAGAAGTGACTGAACTACAACCTGTACCTGATGCTCATGTACCTCTTATGAAATTTAAGTTCCACAGGATGGCAATTGACCTTCTCTATGCCAGTGTATCTCTTGCAGTAATACCACCAGTAAGTTGCATTTTAGGTAATATTTGTGCATGTTCTCAAATATTTTTGTTACACTTGAGTAGTATTATCGTTATGCATGCACCTGAGGTATTGCTTTTGACTGCTCAACCAATTCTGTAAGGTCCCTTCCCCGCTTTAGTTGTCCCTAATGAACGCATGCCGCAAATGGTTATGGGGAATTATGATAAGACCTGTTATTTGGAATTGTTATGCCAACTGAACTGTTGATGGAGATTTATAATGTCTGCTTCAACTTAAATCGTGGTCATTTGGTTACTATATTGAGGTGATGAAAAAGGCAAACCGTTCAGTTCAATGCAAGTTGTGCAGCACTACATTTTATTTGCATTGAATTCTTTTGCAGTTACATGCCAATAAGTCTATTACCCCCCCCCCCTCCCCCGGTAATATGGTTGCAGGATTTCAACATCTCTGAAGGGTCTGTGCTTTGTGGTGTTGACGAATCAACTGTTCGAAGTCTTAATGGGTGCAGGGTGGCAGACCAGATTCTTCGACTTGTTCCAAATGTTGAGGTTATTTAATTCAGGAATTGCCATTTGTTTATGCTTGTTCCACTTTCTCATTATAATAATCATATTCTTTGTAGAATTTCCGGACAACACTCAGGTGTTTGAAGTACTGGGCAGAGAGAAGGGGCGTTTATTCCAATGTAAGCATGTTTATCATCTGTGATCCATTTAAATTTGTGAGTGAACCGTGCTGGCATCTAAAAGTTTTCTCGGTTAGGTTACTGGTTTCCTTGGGGGTGTCAACTGGGCCATATTGGTTGCTCTTATCTGCCAACTCTATCCTAATGCTGTACCAAGTATGCTGGTCTCAAGATTCTTCAGAGTTTTTACGCAGTGGCAGTGGCCGAATCCAGTGATGCTTTGTGCCATTGAGAATGATGACCTTGGTTTTTCTGTATGGGATCCACGTAAAAATCCTCGTGATAGATCTCATGTTATGCCTATCATAACTCCAGGCTATCCATGCATGAACTCTAGCTATAATGTATCTTCTAGCACATTGAGGGTTATCAAGGAGCAATTTAAGCTCGGTAATAAGATTTGTCAGGTATTACACTATTTTTACCTTTATACGTCAGACCTAGTGTTCAGGACAATTCGTCATTGCTGAATCTTTGATGCAGGAAATTGACCTTAATAAGGCTAGTTGGACTGCCTTGTTTGAGCCTTTTATTTTTTTCGAGGCATATACGAAGTATCTAGTGGTTGACATTGTTGCGGACAATGATGATGATCTTCGGCTTTGGAAGGGATGGGTTGAGTCTCGACTGAGGCAGCTGACCTTGAAGGTTTCCCTCATTTTAGAACTTTATCGCTCACAAGCCTTAATTTTAACCCACAATTTTTTGTTTTTAACTATAGTTGCTCTTTTGTGATCATATATTTATTAGAAACATATACATTAGCAGGTCTTTTTTAGACCAAGATACCACAGAATACTTTCTTTCCCTGTGATAATATATTTTTAATCAAATGCAGATAGAGCGGGATACTAATGGAATGCTGCAATGCCATCCTTACCCATGTGACTATTCAAATCCTACAGTACAGTGTGCTCATTGCTCCTTCTACATGGGCTTATCAAGGAAAGAAGGGATGAAAATACATGGTCAAAACTTTGATATTCGTGGAACGGTAGATGAGTTTATGCATGAAATCGGAATGTACACATTGTGGAAGTCTGGAATGGACCTAGCGGTCACTCATGTTCGTAAGAAGCAGATCCCTTATTATGTATTTGAACAGGGTTACAAGAAACCTTGTCCACCAATGCATGCAAACCAGCAAGAGCAGTCTGATAGACATGACACTGAAGATGACACACTGACAGCATCTATGTTGGGCCAACTAAAGAGAAAGCGTGATTTTGATGAAGCTGGTCACAGTGAATCATGTAAATCTGTTAAAAGGTCTTCAGTATGCCTAGGCTACGAGGAAAGTCCACCTGAATATGGAAGCATTGTAAGTAAAGTTGTATCCGGAAACACAGTCAAATTGGTTTCCAGTGCCCTCTGTAATGGAGTTCAGAATGGACTGTCGCATGGCAATGTAAATTTGGAATCAGCAAATTGCTCCAGTTCACCACATGGATCTGAGGAGTCTGCAGCATCAGGCACAAGCTGTGCAGCTGTGGAAACAGTTCACATGGTTTATGAAACTGTTGGTCCTGAAAGCTCAATGGCATGTGTTATCAATGGTATGGTCCAGACTATGGCAGTGCACACACCTTTAAAATGTGTGGCTGAGAAAGATGAACCCAAGTTTGAGGGAATTGGTAGCTTGGCAAACAGCAATTCTGCCGAGTTTATGGAGCAGACAGAAATGCTCACTGGAAACGTCCTTGGTGAGAATATGCACTTGTGTGAATGAGCTGATTTGAAGCGACCTTCCACTAAACAGGTTTAGCTTCCTGTGCATTCCCTGTTCAAATTATCATTCTATTTTCGTTATGATACAAAATTTGCTCATGTTTTACTATTTCTGTTTTGTTTAATTATTATTTTCTGCAAAGCTGAGTGGTTTGATTGAAGTGATATTTTAAAGATTATGCAGGTGCCAAATTGGTTGTATCCAGAAGCCAGAAAGCTTCAATTAGGCATGTCCTGTAATCATAATCCTGTTGCATTTAGCATCCAAAGTGCTGTATTTTTGTCCTAAAAAAATGCTGTATTTTGTTTACCATGTGCTGTTTGGTGCCTGTTTTTCCAAATGACAGGTCTGCCCTAAACTGCGTGAGTGGAGGATAGTCAAAAGGAAAAGACTGGTGACTTGCTGAATGGAATCAGGGGTTTCATGCCTGTGGTCGGTAAGTTTGTTTGCTCCGAGTTCTGACATGGATTTTCTCAGAAGGGAGTCTTGAAAGAAGAGGTGCTCCTGGTGCCGGAATGTTCAGTCAGCTATATGGAGCAAATGTGCAGCAGTTTGTCCCAGATGCTTCTCTGACAAGGACAAGCTTTTTTACCCAAAACTGCGAACCATGTACCATCCAGGTTACTTGATCTTATTACTAGTATAATACACAGCTTGTAAGTGTTATACAGAGATGGTCTACCTTACACATTAATTACATAGGTTCAGGTCAGAGTTAGGTAGCTTACCATCAATTTTGTCATAGAGAAGACCGCACACCCTTTACCTATGATAATTTTCAAATGCCGGAAGCTTTGTCTACTCATATGATTGCATTATCATGTTCCTTTTCCCAATCATTGATGACCACATCCAGAACCCTGGATCGCTTTTGAGCCGTGGACCATATGCTATTATGCTGCCAACTGTGATTTTTTTGTCCTGATAACGCCCGCACATGTGGCTTACTAGACATCCGTCCACACCGTGTGTGGCATGAGCAGGAGGCAGCCGACACGGGCTGTGTGTGGGCGAAAATTAGAGTTGCACACACGTGTGGGCACACACGCCCAATAAATACTACTACTCCTCACCCTGCGCGTGTGGCACAAAGTATGCCCACACGTCCTAGCGTAGCTATGTTAGGTATCCGCGGGATGACGATTTAGTTGTGGCAGATGTAGTTATTCAGGATGACAAATGCAGTAGTAAAAGCATGACAACTTTCTCTGTTTATAGTTGTCATATCTAATTTATGGTAGTTGGTGTGTGATTAACTACTTGCCACATATGGTCAAATAATAGTTGTTATGCTTGTTTACCTAGTTACCATGTGTGGTCCAACCATATTTGCCTATATGGTTAATCGCAGTTGTCATGTGTGTTTATCTGGTTACCACATACGCGCAACTGCAGTTGTCGTCAAGCAACGAACCATAGTTGTTATGTGTGTTTACCTAGTTTTCATGTACGTGAAACTGCAGTTGCCATCCAACAACGAACGAGTGTCGTGTGGACGAAAAACAGTTCGCCAATACGCGCGTGGACTAGGTGGTGGCTGTATGAGCGGAAAACTAGTTCGCCCACACGCCCACACAGCGCAACTGGCAAACCGTGTGTTGCGGGGCGTGTGGGCCAACGCAGAAACACAATGCCCACATGGCACTTTAGGATTCATGCAAAACATAATCAACGTGGATCAAGGCGGGTGAGCGATGTGCAAACATGCCACACATGTGGACGTTATCATTTGTTTTTTTGATAGAACACAAGAAAATTAATGTATTTGGGGACAACGCTAGGCGCCGGTCGGCCGACCCAGACCGCACAGCCCTCTGATTGGAAAACGCTTGGGAACGGCGGACCGGCCGAATGTTCAGCCGGTCACACCGCTCGCTCGCCTAGCGCAGCTACCATACGCATCGCTCATCGCGACCTTATCCTTTCCCGTTCGTCCTTGCTGACCACTCATTCCCCTCCTTTTTTCTTCACGCATATGCTGCTGTTCCTTCCATCCTCACCTCCTTCTATCTCCACACATGCTGCTTTCCCGTCCATCTCCACCTCCCCAGCTCCCTCCCTCCCTCCCTCGCTCCCTTCCTTGAGCGCGGCCGCCCAAGCCTACTTTGCCGCTGCGAGCTACGATGAGGATGGCGGCTTCCTGGAACAACGACCAGGGCCACTGCGCGGCGAGCTGCAACGGCGACACCCACGGTCGCCGGCTGCGGGGACTACTGGCGCTAGAAGTTGCAACCTTGTCGTGGGGAGCTGCAACCGGCAATGCCGGGAGCTACAACCTCGTGTTGGCGGAGCACTAGGGCTCGCCGGTCACCACGATCATCATCGATTCTTTGCTACAGTCGGTGTCAAAATTTGCTACAACAGGTCATGCTGCAACCCACGGCCATGTCCTTTGCATCTCCGGCGACCCCCGGCCTCAATTAAATCTCTACAGTACCAGTTCAAATCAATGGTTGCAGCTTTTTTACAAGCCGGTTGCATCTTTTCCAATCACCAGTTCCATCATTTTTAATCACCGGTTCCAACTTCTGTTCAACTCGTTTGCATCTTCTTTGATCACCGGTAGTAGCTTTCCGAATCGCCAGTTGCAGCTTTTCAACAAGCCGATTGCATCTTTTACAAACACCAGTTCCAGCATTTTTAATCGCCCATTTCCAGCTTAGCTCGTTGCATCTTTTTTGATCGCCGGTAGTAGCTTTTCGAAACGCCGGTTGCAACTTTCGTTTCAGCTGGTTGTATCGTTCTAAATTGCCGTTTCCAGCTTGTGAAAATGTCGCCGGTTGCAAATCGCCGGCCATCGTTTTTCTTGCTACACCGGTGACCTGGCGGTGCTAGAAGAGCATCCCCCGCGGGCACCTTTTTTTTTTCTGCAACCGCTCAGCGCAAAGTTACAACCAGCACACACGGTG